GCTTGGTAGATGACCGGTTAATATATTTGCTATACTGCAGTATAACAAATATATATTAACCGGTCGTCTACCAAGCCTACTGAAAGAACGGCTTATAGATCGGTTTTAAATGTACTCCAAGATATCGACCTCATCATCAGCCTTAAATAGTGTGGGTGAGAGTGAATTCGGGCCAGCAGCACAATAACGATTAAGGGCTATGATCGCACTTCGGACCTCAGCCTCTGACAGAGGCTTTAAACAAATCGTGCATGGCTTAGCGTGCTTCATCTTAGTAGGAAGGCGTCCGGAAGCAGGGAGTCAGTTGAAATGCTCTCAAAAGCGCTCCGCTCAACGAGACACATCGCGATCCTTATTGTGAATCAGGGCACTCGCACTGTCTATGATTGTCGCACGGATGCCCAGTTTCCTGGGACAAGTGGTCCGGATCAGTTGGAAGGGCTTGCGATGACTGCCTACTGATCGCGTTTCCTCCGTTACTTGAGCCCAACTGGTCCACCATGTTTCCTTGTCAGCGTGCAAGCTCCGCTTTAATTCACGCCTAATAGTCCGTTTGGTCACATTGTGCTCGGAGCTATCCGGGATTTTTCTGCTGGATTCCAACAGGTTTACCGACCTTTCTGATATCCAGTGACTGGTGCGGTGAGGATCTATAGTGTCACAAGCAGAGGATCCAGCATCGTGCATGGCGGCCGAGATAATATCCCAGTGAAGATCCGTGTCATTAAGACGAGAGAGAAAATTCGGTACGCAGAGCATCCTGATAGAGTTGCGCGACCAAGGACTGAGATCACTTCTCAGTCGTAAATCGATGGTGCCTGGAACTCTCCCAGGTGAAATGTAGGAAAAAACGACATGCTCGAAGTCTACGAAGTGCTCTAGAAAGAGAGACAATCCAGGATGGAACCACGCCCCCCGTAACTTATGTTGACGTGATCTACTTAGGTATACCGTTGGCCAGCTATAGGGGGACACCAAGTGGCACTTCTGCCACCAATGTCTAAAAGCAATGCTACTAAGAAACAGCCGGTGCTCCGTCCACAGTTATAACAGACGCTCGCCGTTGTCCTTCCAGTCGGAGTTAAGTCCATATTTACCACCAAGTTCAGATTACCAAGAGCCCAGATGACCTACTTGCGCATTCATATTCCCTACAACAAAAACAACAAGAACAACGATATCTGAACTGGTGACATTGCAAAGCGCAAACCGTATAGCAAAAGCATGAAGCGCTTTTGCTAACCTTCGCCATCTATGGCGCCGGCGCGACATCACTCTTTCCCTGAAAGGTAGAGTGTATAATGCAGCGGTAGGTTCAATCCTACAGTACGGTTGTGAAACCTGGCCCATTAGATCAGCCGACATAAAAAGGCTAGTTACGTTCGACCACCGGTGCCTTCACATTTTGGCTCATATCTGGTGGGAACACCATGTGAACAGTGAGCGTGTTCGACGCCTTGTTCATGGCGCAGGACGAAGAAGCGAACCGCTCAGCACCGTTATTTCAAACACTAGGCTAGGATGGTTGGGCCACGTGTTGCGCATGCCAGCTCACCAACTTCCGCCACGAGGGTTATTTGCGCGCTGGAGGTGCGGATGGAAGAAGAGGATGGTTCTTAGTACGAAGTTGGTCTCGGATGGAGCCTGTCGACTCCCTGGTTGGAGACCGAAGGACGGCGAACACGTTGGGCTGCATACACTTGCTGACATGACTAGGAGCCGACCTCAATGAGGTTTGTGTTGTGAGTTTCATTGTTCCTCCCTTCCAACAATGATTTCATTTACTACGCATAATATAACCTTTTTGCGGCACAATAGCCGGCTGTTAGCTCTCCAGAACGATGTCCATCCGCTACTGGTGACTCAGCCGGCGTGCTGCAGTTTCATGCTTATCTTATTTTCTTTGGTATTTTGGCACAAAAGCTGAGGTGTTTTCCACTTACAGTTAAGGTGTATAATGATGAGGATGCGAGCCAGCGTGGTTACTTCGTGGCAGAAAGTGTCCTTTGTAGCAGCAGAACTGCAGTCAGTGGGTAGATAAGTGCGAACCGCAAACAAACAGCGTCTAGTATTAGTTCGTGAATCAACCTTATTTGATGCAGTCAAACGGGCTGCACACCGGAATGCAACCAACCAAAGATGACTCAACCTTGGAGCAAAGAACGACGTCCACCCCAACTTGACCAGTGATTGCCGCGTCAGCGTCATAGGATACGTAGGACCAATAGCGAAAGGACAAGCAGGGTGCAGTCAGTTCAACAACCCCGAGGTCAGTGATCCTAGTTTCGGATATGCAACGCACGTCAATACCCAGTGTGTCCAACGTGCGTGCGAGTGCAGCCTGATGACCTATTTGTCTTAGAGTGTGAACGGTGAACGCTGCTAACGAAACGGGACAACGTGGCTTTAAGAGGGGATGTTGACGACAGGCTTCCAGTTGATGGCGAAATAAGGTAGCTGCAGATGGTATGACTCCACTGATATTGCAGCTGCTGTCAATTAAACTGGGAATCATAAAAGGTATGTTAGTAATGGGGGCCAAGAGGGGAGTAAGAAAAACGGGTGAAAAAACTGAGAGTGGCGCGGGTAATAGCATGTTTTCGTTTATCCGCTCTGCTGTATGCAGCAGATAAGACGGCCTTGATAACCTGTGCGAAGGTAGATGCAGGAAGTGGTTGACGTTTGAGGAAATAGTCACGGTTGTACGTAGGTTGAGATAATGTCAGGGCGCCCAGACCTAGAGAGGAGAACGATTAGGGTCCTCAAACAAAGTTTTTGGCTCAAAAGCCAGTCGCAAGGCCCTGGGATGGCATTGAGTAGGTTTTACGGAAGTGGACACCATTCTATTTCAAGCTCATAAGCTAGAGCATCAGCAGACTGAGTTTGTTTGACCTCTAACCATTGACCAACCTAACAGGGGTAACTATTCAGGGGCCCGGGGACACTATCCAGTATAGTTTAACGGGTCGAAGATGTACGCAAATCCTCGCACGGCGTTAAAGTCCAGTTTCGTTGTGATGGTATGTCTGGTTTGGTATTCAGCGCGACGTTAAGATCGGAGCACGTAGTTGGCTAATCAGTCAGAAAGCCAAGATTCAACGATATGCATCTGCCTTAGCTTGCCTTACCCCCTAAGTTCCACTCGTACATACAGGTTACACTGCAATCGTGATTAACAAGAGACTTCACATTTGAACCAACCACCTGCTTAAAGATGCTCAGTGCTAGGCACCTATCGCACTCGCACTACCGCCTAACATCATGCATAGAATGGTATATGTCGAGCTTTTCACTGGCAACTCAAGACGTCTTTCAGTGCAGTTGACACACTCAGCTGACGGTACTGCTAGGTATCCACTCAGCGATAAAGACGGACCTACAAATCTCTAGCGCCGACCTAGTCTATGGACAAGCCCTGCAAGTTCCTGGGGATTTCTTTTGCGCTCCAAGATCTTGTCGCTACGACGCTACCTGTACCCAACAACTGGTAGCTAGGCTGCATTAATCTCGACCGTCTGGAGCCAGAGGTCCCGAGCGTACAGTTCTATCGCCAGAGACCTATGTCGTTTTTGAAAAATTTTCGCTTCTATGGCTACCTCCGAGCATTAGAGCGCATATAGGAAGGGCCAGTTAAGATCACTCATCGCAAAAATCAAATAAATCTTATCAAACACCACGGCAAAGCCATTATCAATGACCAACGCGAAGTCGCTCGTTGCGAATTGGATGATAATGTTGAAGAAGTACATATAAGTGCAAATCCGCTACTTCCAGCCTAACCGGACGTACATCAGCTGCCGCAACAGAACACAGCTCCGAAATCGACTGCGTTCACAACGGAACCTCAAAAATCAACTAGGTCCGGCAGACAAAGTAACTGGCCAACGCGTCTGAGACTGTCGTCCTTTTATTTTCACTCCGTACTTTCATTTTTGTTGACTAGACTGTAACGTAGCAAAATGTTCTGAAAATCAAGAAAAGGAAAAAATCGTTTGGGAACATAGGAATACTAGTTTGAATCCCTATATCGTATTCGACAACTGCTATCTCCATTCATTTTCCCTTGTGCGTGTTTAATATCCGGCGTTTAGCTTCGTTTTTATATCACCAAACATCGAGCGCTTAAGCATTACTGGACATTACAGGATAAAACACAGTGTGATCGAACATTATTACGTACTCAGCCATTTTGGCACATGCAGAGAGGACACCACTTGGGAGCTCGCTAGGGGCCGATCGCATCGGTGCTTCCCAGCAGTTGCATCAACTTCCACCACCTGGTCTCGTAGAAAACCGCCCGGTGGCAGACGGTCCTCAAATAGATCGAACGATTTCCTTCTCGAAGGGACTGTGTAGCGACCAGGGGATTTCCGTGTATGGATGCCGTATGATGCGTAAAAATATTTGCAGATTATATTTCCATTTCTTACCCAGAAAAATTAGGCAATTTGTCACATATTGACCAATGTCTATATGTATAAATGAATCCGGGCGCAAAACGGACATTGTTCACCAAGCTCCCTAGCAGATTCTTCCTTATGTCTCCTTAGTTGTATCTTCTTTGGGTGCCGTTTTAGCCAAGAAAAACTAAGTTTCACAAATAAACGTTCATCTTGCCTATTTCTGTTGGCATTTTGACCTTGCAGATATGGCGTCCGACAATCGATGTAGCTATGGACTCACAGTATGACTGAAGACATGAACAAGGTAAAAATATATTTTTTGCCATACCAATTGCATAGAAATATAGCTAAGAATGTCTAAAAGAATAAGGTACATTGTGGAACTCAATCAAAGGCTTTCTGAATGCACCAAGTCCGCCAGTCGCAGCCAAAGTAGACTCATCGGGATTTTCTCAGTCGGTTTCGGCTCCGTGGACAGATTCCACAAAACCATCTCTTCAACACTGTTAATGAGCCTCATATGTGTCTCGTCGCCTCCCTCAAGATAATTTTCTACGTGGAGTACATTGGTGACATAGGGCTTCGGAAGAGATATAGTTAGCCCCGAGACGGGTCTTCCGCGGATGTGAGCTTTGCGCACGGTATGGTCCACTTTAGGTGGACACCTAAGCAAAAAATCAGTGTCGTAGGATAACCGAATTCACTTTTGTTCGAATCCGAAAGAGGACGCATTCGTCCGTACACCATCCGCATCGATTCGACAAGGTAGCCAATGAGCCAGCATAGAAGTACTGATGAATACAAGGATATCTAAAATAGGAAAAGTATAAGAATCCGAGTAAAATGTTCAACCTGGCGTTCGGCACGGCCTCAAATGCCACCAAGGTGAAAATGTACCTTCAGCTTAACAAACAGGATACAGAGTTGTTCAGCATCTCCCCTTTATGATGTTATACCATAGGACGCTACGGAACTACACTCACATTATATATGGGCCTAATGCCTTCGAATTTTGACAAGAGCTGATATGACAAATAAAATATGGTGTTTTAGAGCACTCACGGGCCCAAATGGAGCGACCGAAATGTAAATCTCAACACACTGAGCACATTGAAAAAGAGGGAGCTAGTACCCAACCAAATACGAAAGTTGTTTTGGCCGACTCGGTTGGTTTGCTGTAATACGAGTACCCAGCAAGAAGGACAACATCTAACAAAAAAGGCAAAGTAGAAATAAGAGTGGATGCAAAACTACAATGTAATCATTCATTTCGAAGGAAAAACGGCAGTTGCACATGCGTATTTCGTATTAATGCTTCTCCGTGCATAAAAAAACGACCTGTTAACGAAGAATATTAAGGAGTCAGGACCAACGTACGAAAAAAGGGTCAGTGTTAGTAAAACAAGGGGACAGAGAGATAGCATGTTCTGTGCTTACGCTACTCTGCGCGATCATCAACCTAACCACGCAGACAATAGCATCAAACAAACTGAGAGCAAGCAGCCCGACTAGAGGCTACAAATTCATTCAGTGCTGATCGCGAGTTGCAGGTTAAGTCGCGAGAAAGGGACCAAGAGCGCCCAGCTTGGACATCGGTGATTTCGTTCCCCACTTCAAGGTCTGCGAAGCACTGCTGGTCTCGGATGGCACCAGCATGGTCGCAACGATAATGTGCATAGGCGAGTGCTAGACAATGATATCCAGGCTAGTTGCTTAGAACAACAAATAGCACTGAGTAAGTGGCGTTGGCTTGGGCACTTACTACGTATGCCTGGTCACTGCTTACCTAGGAGGGCCTTGTTTAATCCTCCAGGTGTAGGGTGGCGCAACGCTCGACGTGGACAGAAGTTGACTTGGTAACGTGAAATGAAGTCACTGACGACCAAACTGGGTGCCGTTGGTCCGTCTCGCCTTCCGTACTGGAGTCAAAGTGACCTGCCTTGTGCCCGACTCGAGACTTTACAGGACATGACTCGCAACCGACACGAGTGACGCGCCTGTCACTGCCTCCTAGTTGGAGTGCGTTTAAAGTGTGTTTGGTGCTGAGTTATCTGCGGGGTAATGGCTAATTATGACGCAGGACAGTGAAAGCCACAAGGAAGCTGTCTCGCCGATGCCGCCTTATCTTTGCATGATGGGTAGCTGTTTGTGACGGTATGTTGTTAACACAAGGTGTGGAGCCTTGACTCTGAATATTTGCTTAGGGCATTACGGTTTTCAGGTAAGTCCTCTTCTCTCCATCTTATCATTATTTATTCCTCAGGTCATCATGTTTGTATGGCAACGAAGTATCAAATCTAATGGCTGATGTACCGCTGTTGGTAATGATGATGTAAGGTCAATGACGAACACAGTGAAGTGACTGCAATCCTAGAGCAGGGAAACCAAGGACTCTCTAGGTGTAAAGCATGCAGGCGTAAGTAACACGTGCCTAAGCTGACCAAGCGTACCAAGTACCATCGGTTAGTCAAACGCACTGACCCATTACCGGTGACTACTGTCGAGTTGCGAACTGCAGTGTTTCTGAGCGGAAAACATCCAATATCCGTTTGCAACAACTCAGTTTATCCATGCAAACGCGATCACTAAGGAAAAGGGAAATATCCCTCTTGTACCATGTCAGTCAACAATAATCTACAAGTTGGATGGAGGTGAGAAACATCGCAATTATTGTGTCGTGACGGAAAGCATTTTTAACTACTCGCAAGACCGATCCCACGAAACTCATCCAGGAAGACGCATAAAATTAGAATGACCAAATTGTCCAGCCAGAAGTTTCGTGCATTTTAAACAAGTGATAAGCCGAGCTGGTGAGAGGAAGTTATCAAGCAATGAAAAAGATATAAACGAAAACTGAGTCTATGAATCGAAGGGAACCATGAAGGGAATCATAACGTTGCAGCAGCACCTCACTCCTGCCAACACAGTCGACTCCAAGGTAAGCAATGAGGGAATAAGCTTAGTGAATGCATACGAACGAGGAAGACTATTGCTAAATAAGATAATGTAGATATGTTTACGGAAGGATATATATATATATATATATATATATATATATATATAACAGCGAGTGGATAAAAAGGTGAACTATGGAGTAAACACAAGTAGGAAGCAAAAATTGCACAAGAAAACGGAAAGAAAAGAAGTAATCTCTGTTATTACATACAATTTGGTCTTTTGTTTACCCAGTTTAATCATTGTGATGCTGGAAAGTTAAATCGAGGCATAAATTCATACATACATTCCAACAGCCCGATTGCGCCGCATGCCGAAAAGCGCTTCGAACAAGCGGTGTTTCTCATCCTCGGATTCTCAGGTCGAAGGATGTACTGAAAGTCCGCGCTATGACGTTCTGTAGTCCTGTATTAGATTGACCACTACGCGATTTCTTCGAACCTGATCCTGTGGGAGCGAATAGAGCGAGATGTGGTATTCCCTCGTATGACATGTATAAGAACGTGAGGAAATAATCGCGATTAGCGCAACGATACGTGTCTGTTGAGTGAAAAACTAGTAGTACCCAATACGCAACCGCCGACATCATTGTTGCAAGCGCGGTATTCCAAGCGCACACGAGCTATCCCAAACAAACACTTGTTCCAAGGATCGATATTCGATGGAATGAGAGAAACTTCAAAAGACATCGAACAAAGACGGGACAAAAGGCAGACTGAAACCTGGCTAAAGGTAGATACTACAGTAGCTGAAGCGCAGATGTATCTGCATTAAAATATAAAGCGCAATCGCCAGATTACCCAAAGGTATGGATGGTATGTGCATTGGTGAAATTGAATTAGACTGGTCGTCAGGAGGCACAGGCCATAAAATAGATGTGGTGAGAATAACTAATTCCGTGGGCACACTGATACTACTCCGCAAAACACCAAGCCACGACTTCAGCACGGTGAGGTGTTGGGTTACTCGATCACTAATTAAATTACGCCTCCGGCCCATTACTTATCTTGGTGGGACCATCGAGTAAGCAACGCTGCCATCCACCAGTTGGCGTTTGGTGCCGCATTAGAAGGTAATCGGAACCTAAACTATCACCCTAGTTGAGCCATTGTACACCTGCGGACCACTTGTTACGACGTGTGTTGTATGCGATTATTGTGGCTGGTTGAATGAAAAACCAAAGGGTTTGGTGGTGAGGCACTAGCTTAATAATAATAGTAATAATAATAACAGTAATAATAATAAGGTGTCAGCTGTACGCCGTAACGGCGCTTCGCTGCTGAGCGACCACCACCAGTGGCGCGCGGGCTGATTATACCGCGAGGACGCCCACCCGTACGCGAATTCGTACCAGTGACCTGATGATTGCAAGCAAGGCGTGCAGACCACTCGGCCACCGGCCGACACTAGCTCAATGACAGAATGGTTTGTAACGTCTTCTGGAATCGGAGTTACGGTAGTAGCTACAAACGGGGTTGGATGTTCTCCTCGACCTGCCGATGGACAGGACGTGTAGTCTCGACATAAACACGCATCCCCGAAGGTGTTCATAAAACATCAGTAGCCGACTGTCCTTACCAAAAGCCTGATGCAATGCTGATCGGAGAGGACCTCAGAATACAAGCAGTAACTCGCTACCCGAATTACTTTGCTCTGTGTGACCACCGCTTAAAGGATATGCAACACGTGTATGTGAGAGGTGGGCGGTCGTCACACACGGATCTAACTGTCCTCCTCTGTTGCTCCCACCGCGCGCTTATCATTCACTGTAGAATCCCACTCATTCGAATGTGAACAGGTGCGATCAGTTGCACATCGTTACTTTGTCCTGTCAACACCTGAATCCATCAAGCGTCCGTTCAAGGATCAGATGTTCTCACAACACGTTCTCCAATCAAATTGTCACACCCTCGTTAAGCATCTTACATGAAAATGCAGATATGAATCGCGCGCCAAGGTGATAAAATGTACCAGCACACAATCATGGAAAAAACCTTTTATTACACCGGAAATTTCCCGCTGTAACTATTGTTATGGCATAGCTTGTAGCGATCTTCAGTCCGCGCGCTGTCCTATGTAAGCATTTCTTTCAATTTTCATTTCGTAAAAGCACGGAGAATTTCGTGGTTGGCCAATGCGGAAGACCAGTGATACAATCGTGTTTACTTGCAATGGGTAAATGTCTAAACACAAGATGAAATTCTCGTGGATCTCCATGACTTTTCTATAGGGGTCTCAACTCGCAAACCTAGCTTCATAGAAATTGACCGCCGAATCCGAAACATGTATGCTGCACATAAAGGCTTCGTAAGGGCGTTGAGATGCTCGACTTTTAATAATGTTCACTGGCGCTGGCCACTGAAGGTTTGTGACGCCGTATACGTATGATGGTGATCAGGCATTAAATACAATCTACCTGAATTCTGCCTACATAGGATTCCGTGTGATTAACACGCAGTGTCAATTGGCGCGGTGTGAGATGCAAGTATATACGTATTTAGATAGTGCGGCGGTGCATTACATTTGGTTATGTTAATGCCTCCATACTCGAATTCCCATTTCAGCCAAGGGATAGTTGCTGCTACCAGGTGACTTGATGCGAGGCAGCAAGATTCATCACATTTGGGGAGCTCTCATCAGCGCTGTTTACCTAACGGAGTCATTCCGTGTAGGAGCGAAGGATTCCAGCTACAAGGTACACTTCGTCCGGTAATCGCCATCTTGAATGATCAAAGTGCGCAGTTGGTCAAACGACGTGTCGGCTGTTATCAAACAGGATCAAAAGCAGTACCTAAAAAACCTGAGATCGGAGTACACTGAAGTTCGCAGACGGTGACATACAATTGGAGGCAAGCTCCGCAACATCAGGAACAATCACCGCGGAGCCACCTGTAAGTTTGTGAGGATAAACCGGTTAGTGACAATTCGTCGAATCAGGTGAAACAATTTAAAAAAAACAATGAAAAATTACTTCCCAGCGAATATTTTCGACAGCTTCGAAAAATCTTGTTCACTTAACCCAAAGTTGCTCGATCAGAGAAGAAATATCTCCGTTTAATGTGAGTTGCGGATACCCAGTGCCCAATCATGGACCACGCCGCTTACTACTGCTATCTTCTGTGCTAACTCAACCGCTCAACATCCACTCACAGATCACCCCACCTCCCGTCCTTCACCCACATGTACTCTGATGTCTTCTACGGTCACCGTCACAAACGACCCGCGTCTCGCAATTGATGGAAGTAACAGCCAAACTCCCGGTTTTCAATGTCCTACGATCGCAACCGCCTCTCACTCCACCGAAGCTCCAGCTCTTCTTCGACCTGGTTCTCCATTCATCCTCGCAGTGTTTAATGTTCGAACTTTGATGCAGATCGGACGACAAGCATGTCTGGCCCGTACTCTTGAAACGCTTTCGGTAGACATCTGTTGCCTTTCAGAGACCAGATTACAAGACTCTAGCGCCGTCATCAGAATGGCCTCTCTGGTAAACTCTGACGCCAAATACTACTTGCGGCTTTCCGGAGACCCAGAAGCTGCCGCCACTGGTCAAACTGGTGTTGGGGTTGTATTAAGTGCCAGGGCTGAATCAGCTCTGCTTGACTGGATCCCAGTCAACAGTCGGCTATGTGCAGTCAGACTACGAGGTTCATGTAACGTAAGCAGGCGTCGAGACGTTAAACGTGCCTTGTTTGTCGTCTCCGCCTACGCCCCTACAGACTGCAGCCCGGATGCAGTTAAAGATAGCTTTTGCCAACAACTACATGAATTTCTGCGTTCCTCCAAACGGACTGATATAGTCATTCTTGCCGGGGACTTTAACGCACGGGTTGGCCACCTTCCACCAAGCGAGTACCACCTTGGGGGTAGCTTTGGTCTCTGTGGCAGTCGATCAGACAATAGGGACAGACTGCTTGCTCTTTGCTCTGATCATCGCTTGTTTCTTTCGAGCACTAGTTTTCGGACTCGAGGAGACATACTGCTACCTGGCGCCCGCCCTCACGAACGCAGGAGTGCCCCCAGCTTGACCACATGGCAATCAGCTACAGATGGCGCGGAAGCGTAACGGACTGCCGATTGTACTGGTCAACTTTTCTAGACTCCGATCACGCATTGGTTCGTGCTAAGATTTGCATGCGTTTCGGAGGATCACCTAAGCGCGCCCACTACCGACCGGACGTCGCGAATCTACAAAACCCTGCGATTTTAACCAGGTACCAAACCTCACTGTCAATCTTGCTTGGCTCAACTATTGACGGTGATCTCGATTCGCAGTGGGCGCATATCAAAGATGCGTTAGTTTCCGCCAGTATCGACACTTGTGGAACTAACCGTCACCCACCAAAGCATTGGATTTCCGCCGACTCCTTGTCGCTGATGGACAGACGCCGCTTGATCCCATCGGATTCCAGACACAGTGAAGAACGCCAGTACCTTGGTCGAGAGTTGCGCAAGAGTCTGCAAATGGACCGCGAAGCTTGGTGGTGTGAACGTGCTAGGGGGATGGAGCATGCTAGTCTCTCTGGTAATACCAGAAAACTCTTGCATCTCATTCGAGTCACCGAAGGTGTTCGATTTGGTATAAGTGAAACAATATGCGAAGAGGATGGCACCTTAATCACCAATTTTCAACGACGGTTGGAGCGATGGGCC